TATATACTTTGTTTTTTTTATATATTTAACATTAAAAATATTTTGTAAAGATAATAATGAAAATATATTTTTAGGATATATATAGTTAATTTTGGTAAAATTTATAATAATTTTTTAAAATAATAATTAAATATGTAAACCAAGAGATACATTTTTATGCAACATTTTTTAATATTATTCCTAATATTTTAGCATATACAATGCACATACATGTGTATTACATATAATATAATTAAAATTTATAATAAAAAATATATAAATAAATATTATGTTTGAATATATATTATATTAAAAATTAATATACATAAATATTTTTAAACATATAAATTATATTTTAGATTTATTAATATCTAATTCAATTTTTATTTATCATAATTATTTACAAATTTATTTTTAATATTTTTAAAATAAATTATCAATTAATATTCCTATATATTAAACACGAGCTTCTATCTTGTACTATAATAAATTTAGGTATTTTTCTTTAACGAAAGGATTTTTAGAAATTTTTTTAATTTCTTGTCTAATTCAAATTTTATTTATCAGAATTATTTATAAATTAAATTTTAATATTTTTTAAAATAAATTATCAATAAATAAAAATTCAAAGAAGCTACATTTTTAGTTTTTGATAATTTAATTTTAGCATACTACTCCAACTCCACAGCTACGTGCATCAGGTTTTAATACATAAGGTTGTCTGATCCCACTGTTTCTGATGATTTTTTTCTTTTTCTTTTGGGGATCTCACACTCAGTTCCTTACCACAAAATCAAATGTTACTGGCTTACAGTAACCGTGGTTAGTATAAAATCAATTATGGAAGAATATTTCATGCTATGTACTATGTAGGACTTTCTGTTTTAGCATGATTATTATAGTATTTTTATCCGATATTGATTGTAGAATTCCAACTATATTAAGCAAGTATAAACAAAAGTGTTAAATTTGCAACACTTACTACATAATAGATGCAGTATATGGAGTGTGATCTCAACTGTTACATAGCATATTGAGATACTCAGGTGCATATATCTTATAGTAAATATTTTTAATTAGTTATTCTTTTAATTTATCTGGATAAAAGAAAATATGCATAAAACACCACATAATACAGAATAAAATACATTACAACATCTTGTTCGAGAAAGAAATATATCAGAAGGAACTTTATTGCATTATAATATTTAAATGAGGGAGCTCTGTAACTTTGAAAACAGTATGAGAGGGTTAATGCAATTATGCTCTGTAACTTTATTGCATTTGTAAACTTGGACTTTACAAATTACTCAAAGAAAATTTTATAATTGGCAAAAATCAAATGCGGATGCAAACATAGCTTTCCATTAGACCTGCTGGCAACAAATAATTTTTTCTCCATCCTGAAAAAAGGAAAAAAACAGTCATAAACACCAGTCATAATGGAAAGGAGGTCTCCATAAAAGATAATTACTTACTTTTTATTGGAACGAAAACGTAAAGCTTAGACTTGGTCAAATGTGTATGATTAACAACTGTAAGATTCAGGGACTCCGTGGAGTACATGGCCTTTTGAGTCCTAAAATGGGCTGAAATACAAAGAAAATGTCTTCACATTCAAAATATCATTAAACTGTTTGAATTGCTTGAATATATAAGTACGACACTTTGACAATTGACAACCAACTCGTTGAATAAAGACTTATTTGCACATGGAACAACACAATTTTCAGGATGGAGGTTTATTTAGTTGCAAATGACACCATAATGCAGCGAAAAAAATAATGGTGGTTCAATCTATAACTAAAAGTAAAAGAAAACATTTTGACAGTCGTGGTGGCTTTCAAGTAATCATGTTAAATATACCTGAACAATGAGGTGTGCAAGATTAAGGTCCTCTATTCTCAAACCATATCCACTCCGGACACCAGAGAAGGAAGCATGCAGGACCGATGTCTCCAGAGAAAGAACTTTTCAAAATTGTACACAATTTATCTGATCATTTGTACGACAAATATCATCCAGGGTTAGTCATGAATATTACATAATAGAAAAAAAAATATGTATACACATTTGAAACGCTAAACACCTATCATTAGATATAGAATTCATTCATTGGAACAATAACCTACGAGTACGAGCTGAGTTTAGTTTGAAAATCACTTTTGATGAATTTTCTTAAGATGCAGTTCAATATTGTGATGATATTTCTAGATATCTTTTCCTTTTTTCTTTTAGTCCTTCTATCTTTATTCCTGATATATACTTGATTACTTTTGTCCTTGAAATGAAGAAAAAGGGGAAAGAGCAATTCACGTAGTTTCAAAGGGGTTTCAACAATCCAATTCCCATTACTGACCTTCAAGAATACTCATAGAAAGAGTCAAAAGTAGTTCCATCCTAGAGTCCTGCAAAACAAACAGAGCTGTAGTCATGATTAAATAAACTGATGGCTCTTTCAAATGCTGGAATTATTCTGGTGGAGAAAATGTTCACTGAGAAATGAAGAGCAATGTTCAGTAACTGTGGAACAACATATAACTATATGAATTTATCCTATCATCATATTTCAGATATCCCCATATATTTTGGTTCATTTTATAGACAACTATTCAAACTACCATGCCATATTATAACAGATTATTAAAGAGATTACCAGTAGCAATTCTAGATACCGTGATTGGAATGCTCAAACTATAGCCTCGGCCATGTAGCAGTAAAAAGACAAACAACCAGCTGCACAGGAAAAGCAGACCAGGTAAGCTCCAATCATGCCTTTCCATCTGATGTAGGCTCCACCCATAATTAACGGCATCTATTTATTTGTATAGTGACCTCCTTCATAAACAGATGAGAGTGCCAGCATCCATGCTTGCAAACCTCCCGGAGCATCCCTTTTCACCATTACTTCTAGCCTGCCAACAGCCTGATTTGAAGCTCCACAATTCAGCAAAATGTGTGCAAGAGCTCTGAATGTAAAATCATCTGGTTGAATGCCAGATTTTATCATTTCCTTGAAAGTCTCTGTAGCTTCCCTTAGCCTCCTATCCATAGAATACAAGCCAAGAACATTATTATAGCTCAATATATCATTCAAGAGTCCTAGTCTTCTCATCTGTGCTGCAATTTGAATGGCTTCATCCAATCTTCCAATTTTCTTATACATACATAGCATCATTGCATATGAAAACTCGTTTGCAATGTCATTCTTCTTCAAGCTCTCGAATATCTCTTTTGCTTGTTCTTCCATAAGTCGCTCAGTATAAAGATCAATCATACAATTAGAGGAAAATAAAGAAGGACCTTCATCTAATGATTGAAGCAACTTGTATGTTTCTTGTGCTTCTTTCAGGTAGCCTACTTTAGAATACAACTTTATCAAAGAGTTATATATTGCTGGATTCCCTGGCAAGCCTGCCTTTCTCATTTCATCAATATAACTGATGGCTTCTTTAACACTTCCAGCATCAGCAAAAGCATTGATAAAAACGCCATAAATAATGACATCTGGCTGCACGGCATATCCAAGCATCTCCTTGTATAATTCTTCTGCCATTTCCAGTTGGCCTAACTTTGCAAAGCTTGATATCACAGCACAATAAGGGACGCAGTCACTCACAAGTCCTGCCTCCTGCATTTTTTTAAGATAAGATCTTGCAATGTGCGGCTTGTCAGCAGTGGCCAAAATATGTATGAGAGAACTATAGCTACATTTGTCTGCAACAACACCAAATTTCTCCATACAATCAAACAATTGACATGCTTTATCATAGCATTTTCCTATCCCATAAGCTTTAATCATCACATTAAACTCAAGGACAGTGAGTTTCTTCTTCTCTTTACAGCAAATAAATACTTTCTCTGCTTCCAAAGTGTACCCTCGCTCACCATATGCATCAATATTAGCAGAGTAACAATCAGAACTGATATTCCCAGCCAGGTGAAACTTCCTGAACCACAACCATGACTGCTCAAGCATACCAGATTCTACATACATTCTAGTCAAAGCAGATTGGGTGAATTCATCAATCTCAAGACCCCCTTCATCCATCTCCCATATGAGCTCTTCCGCTTCTTGGACCATTTTCCTCATTGAGTACGCATACAAGAGGGAACGGTAACTCACAACATCCGGCTCAAGGCAGGCCTCTTTCATCTTTGCAAGATATTTACCTGCCAAGTTGACATCATTATTCTTAATATAAAGTGAAATGAGGATGTTATATGTCCGCGAGTCGGGTTGGCACCGAAGCTCTCCCATTTTCTGGAACAGCAAACAAGCTCCCTGTAGTCGTCCACAGTTTCCATACAAGTGAATCATTGTATTGAGTGTCACTGTAGTCAGGGCTACCCCTTGTCTGATCATCCTAGCAAAAGTTTCGCATGCTGCACGAAATTGACCACCCTTCCCATACGTGTCAATCAAGGTAGTATATGTACGAGAGCTTAAACGAACACTGGTATGTAAGTGTAATAATTTATCATCCACTGCATAACCATGATCAATCCCTAATCTGAAAGGTGCCACTCTTAACCATCTCCTGAAAAATTCTTCGGCTTTTCGAAACTCCCCGGCCCTCTTGTGCAACTGAACAACAATCCCCATGGTGACCTCATCAGGCTCCATCACTTGACTCTGCATCCTTTGAAGCCAAGCAAGTGCTTCTTCTCTGAGTCCACCTTTGCCATAAGCATCAATCAAGGTCCCATACGTGGAATTCACTGGTGCAACCCCTTTTGCATTCATTTCACTCCACAAGCTCTCGATGAGACCCCATTTCCGCGCTCTGCCAAGGGTCCAAAACATTATGTTGTAGTGAATCACGTTCAGGTCATAACAACCCTTGTTCTTGAACCACTCGAATATTTGCAGAGCCCTCTGCCAAGAGACCTGGGCCTTGAGAATGACGCTGATTTCCTTGCTGGAGAGAGTCTCCTCCCATTGTCTGAGGGCGCTATCCAAATCGTGAATGGTGTTGAGAGCGTGTAGAACTGCGGGAGTGCGTCCACCGTGAGAGACCCATTTCGTCAAACACTTGGAGTGCACATTGTTATTGGCTGTCTTTTTTAGAGGCCTGGAATTGGCATTTTTCTCCAAATTCGGTTTCTTTGGTCGATATTCGATGGGAGAATGAGACAGTGCGTGATTGGTTTTGTTGGGAATGGATACCGAGCTTTCGAGTGGAGCGTTGGTGAAACCCAAAAGATTGGTGTCTAAAAGTTGGGACTTCACAAGCATTTCACCCTCAGACTTGAGTTCAGTTGACACAGAACAGGCGATAGTAATTCGCTCTGCGCTCCCGATTCAGATTATGGTTTTCTTTTCTTTTATCTCCTTTTATTTTTAATTTTCTGTTATGGACATTGGACGGGGTTGAGTTTAAATGCCAAGGAAGTGTTTTGGGCCTTGGGTTGGGCCCCTCCTCTGTTCGTAAAGAAGGCAGGCAATTATTATTTGGATCATGATATATACACCTCCTTTTTTTTTATAAGCACACCCCCTTTTAAAAAAATAAATTTTAAAATATTCTTAATTTTTATTTTTTTAATTTTTTTAATTTTATACTCCTAACATTTAATTTAACACTTTTTTACATATCACTTTCCATTATTTTCACATGCACCTCCTTAATTTTTCTTTACTCCCAACTATTTTGGTAAGTAATTTTAATTCTTTTAGTTTTACATTATTCTTTTTTCCTTCTTCTTTCAGTTCTTACTGATTTCACTATTCGCATAGTACTCTAGAATAGTAAAAATGTCTTTTTCATAATACTAAATTTAATGTTAAGGTTTTTGGAGAGGTGAAAGGAAATGAAGTGTTGGAAGAAAAAATGTGTGTCTAATTTGATAGAAACTGTCGAGGAAGCTACACGTACCTACAATATTATCGCCTACCGGTTCTATGATTTGGGTGCATGTGAAAAAGTGAAATAGATGAGAAAATAAGAGAGTAATATAAAAATCGAGAGAATTAAAACTACCAATCGAAATAAGTGATGAATTAGAGGAAGATAAGATGATACATGTAAAAAATGGAAAAGAGAAGGTGTGTAAAAAGGAAAAAAAATAGTAAATTGAAAGTTAGAGATGTAAAATTTAAAATTTAAAGAATAAAAAAAATATATAAATATTTCAAAAAAAATTAAAAAAAATAAATAAAGGAGGTGTACTTATAAAAATAAGGAGGTGTATATATCATTAGCCTTATTATTTATATATTTTTAATTACTATCCCTATTTTAATTTAAAGTAAGATATGTTTTTAGTCCTTCTAAAATTATAGACATTTAATTTTAATTTTTCTAAATTTATTTGTTCTGTTTTAGTCTCAATTTTAAAAAGGTATTACTTTTAGTCTTCTAAATATAAATAAATATAAAATACTATTTAAATTACTTTAAGGATTAAAAGTTGTGCATTTAAAAATTAAAATAATTATAGAAAAAAAATTAGAGAAACTAAAAATATACTTGTACCATCTTGGATATATCATCTTAGATATAATTTGAGATTGATTTAATAAGACGCTATGAACAAATTCATTCGCCTTTTAGGCTTGAAACTGGTAGACAAATGTACCATTTGAGATATACCATCCTAGATACAATTTGAGATGAACTCATTGAGATTGGTTTATCGAGACACTATAAACAAACTCCTTCGCCTTTCAGGCTTGGAACTAGTAGGCAAGTGTACCATCCCGAATATAATCCAAGATGGACACACCGAGATGGATCTATCGAGATGGGATAAGTTACTCGATATATTATTTCGATGAAGAGAATATGGGCCAAATCTTATATTTGAAAATAATATATCAATATATGATACTTAAATTATCTTATCAAATCTCGAAACTCTCAAGACTCGTAAACCTATAAACAATCAATTATAAATACTTTAACCCTAAGATAGTGATGGACAGATTACACTCTTGAATGCTCTGACTTTGGTAGCTTGCCTAGAATAAACCTTAGACATCCTCTAGATCAGAACAATACTTTATCCTTTAATTTAAATTGATCAACCCATTTAGTATTTTTTTTAAAAAAATATATATTAATTCACATTCTTTTATTCTTGATGAAATACTAAAACTTTTACTCTAACCTTGTCCCTTAATAAATACTAGGTTAAAATGTTCTTTTGATCTTTATAATTTTACTTACTTTATTTTTTAATTTTTATAATTTAAAATATTTTTTTTAGTCCTTATACTTGTCTTTTCTCAATTCTTTTTAGTCCCTAAAATTTAAAATACACCTTTTATTTTCTATATTTGCAATTTTTTAATCCTTATAGTCCTTGACGATAATTTATTTGTAACATTATCTCTTTTTTGTTGACATAACAAAAGTATTTAACTTTATATTTTTCATGTCAAATTTATTTTATTAGAGTTACCTTAAATTAGGTCTCTTGACATTCCATACCTATTGTTTAGCCTTACTTGTGATACTCATTATTGAGACTAGACATGGCAATCTAACCCGCTCCCGTGGATACCCGCTCGAACCCGTCTCGATTTGGATGGGGAAAACCCGTGTTTATCGGGTTCGGGTTCGGGTTTTCCCCGATTAATAAAATCGGGGGCTGGAGCGGGGGCGGGGATGTTAATACCCACCCCGCCCCCGCCTCGCTTAATAATATAATTAAAAAATTATTTATATATATATATATATAAACCAAAATTATATTATTTTACTTTTCTTTTAATTTTTTAAAAAATTGTTCATATTTATTTAAAAGAAAAAAAGAAAAAAAACATAGGAGCGGGGGCGGGGGTGGGGCGGGGATGGGGACCCAAATTTTATCCCTAGCGGGTATCGGGGACGGGGGCGGTTTAAATTTGCGGGGATGGGGGCGGGGAATGTTGCCATGCCTAATTGAGACACCATTTCTTCAATTTTCACAAAATTAAAGACCTCTACCATGTCAATACAAAAGAGAAGACCATATCAATACAAAAGAGAAGACCATATCAAAAAATGAACATCAATGACTAAAATTAATTGAAAAAGGTAAATTTAAGGACTAAAAAAGTATATCTTAAATTATAGGGACTAAAATTATTTATTTTAAACTATGAGAATTAAAAGGTAAAGTAAGTAAAATTATAAAAATTAACAAAATATTTTAACCTAAATATTATTATCTTGAAGTACTTAATAAAGTATTTATAATAATTAAGAAATAGAGTAATGATACTTTTAGTAAAATTGGCCAATGTAAACATTGATATAAGAACATGAGAAACTTTAAACCCTAAATAATATTATTTTGATATTATGTCTTGTATTTGATATGGATCAGAAAATGAATAGTGATAATGATAATAATAATAGTGACAATGACAATAATAATATCAATGAAAATAATAATAATATTGAAGTGATGACGATAATAACAGTATTGACAATGATGTAACGATAATAATTATGATAACGATAATAATCATAATAGTAATAAAAGTAACAAGAATGATGGTGACAAAAAGAGGAGAGGAAAGGTAATTATTCTATCACGAATTAAACTCCTTCCTCAAAATAAGAAATACATTACACAAAATGAATAGGATAGAAAAAAAATGATTATGAATGGGTACCCCGCACATGTATGGGCATTGGAGTACTCGTGCATCATTGTCCAAGTGCATGGTTGTATCCAAACAAATTCAAATAATCAAGTAGTAGGGTCTGTCAAATTGAAATTTAGCCGATAGTATATTATCGACCTATTTTCCCGAGTTTACCCAAAATTCTTATTGTGGACATCCAATGTTAATGAAGTTGGAAAATCTACATAAAAGACAACCGTCCTTGGTTCACGCAAAGTCAAAATGAACTGTAAATAAATAATGGAAATTTTATATTTTTTATTATTATATTTAAGTAATTAGAGTCTCTAGTACTTTTCATAACACAAAGCTACAATACGACCTTCAGTAGAAAAAATAAAGATAGCAATGATAAATAGTCAAATACAGTTTGTTCCACTTTCTTTTTCAAATATAAAAAATACACACTGCCCCAGTAGCAGATTAATATTAAGGCAGACTCCGATGATTCAATCACTAGTCTGGGAATGCTGCTCATTTGCAATACTTGTTGAACCAAATCGCAATGCTAAGGTAGCTTTCAAAGTCGGATTGTGGCCTGTACAAAAGTTAAACCAAACAATATTACCAATTACAATTCTGCTTGAAGTTTGTTTGGATGAATATAAGTTTAAAATAATTTTTTAAAAGTTTATTTATTGAATATAAAGAACTTCCGGTAGAGAAACTTACAAAAATTCTTCTAAATTTGTATCCAAGCAGTATCTTAAATGAGAGATGTTTATGTAAAGATTTGTTTACCTGTCTATTCCGTGAACATCATTTGGAAACACGATGACTTTGACCTGTACTCCTTTCTCCCTTAAAGCGCGAGCATACTACAGATTTAAACAAGTTCACTGTCATACTGGTCTAGTTTAAAAAGCAATCACCTAAGAGGCTAAGAGTTTACCGATATTTGTTGAAGCTCACAAATTGAGAGTGGATCATAATACTTACTTGCAGTCCTGTCGAAATTGGAACACGGAGATCTTGGGCACCTAGTAGAAAAAGCGTTGGTGTTTTTACCTGCAGATATCATCAGAATATAAATCTGCAATGCCAGAATTTAACAGCAAGCAGCATGAAATATTATAAATAGGCTTCGATATTAGTTTTAGTATGGTTGATGCATTAACCTTGAGACCAGTTCTCTGGATAGTACAACTTCACAAGCAATTCAAACGAATGAGGAAAAATTGAAGTAAGATAAAATTCTAAGCAAGAAAGGTTTCGGTGCCAATGAAAAATTAAAATAGTTAATGCATTTGCTCAAAATATTAAGCCTCTACTATTCCTTGATGTTTGTAGGAATTATTGAACCAAAGTGCTCATGCAATTGTTATTTTCTAGTTGTTTGGGGCATTGCTTAAAATACTGAGTAATATAAACGATTTAATATTTCAAAACCTTATTTGGGTGTACAGACCTTTGAGAGGTGTGCAATAGGAGATTTGCCATAAAATTGAGTTAGATCCTCTGCTGAAGGTGCTTCAGTAAACTTATCTCTCCCCTTGGTTCCATAGGTCTCCACATAGCACCAATCAGGGATATCAGTTGTACCGACCATCAGTGCAAGGTTACAAACAGGATTTCTAGCAGCTGCTGCAACAAATTTCTCTGGTGCCTACGGCAATCAGAAAGACAAGATAAAACAAAACCATAACAGATTTGTAAAAGCCCAAACTTTAAGTAGATAGAAATCTCACCGCTATTAAAATGAA